ATAAACCTTAATTTAATACGCTTTACGTGCAAACACCAAAGCGGAAGAAAACCAAACAAACTCTACAATAAACTGGCATATGAAAAAAGTACATGAACAAAAAAATATTCGAACAAATGCACGCACACAAGAACACAAACACATACATATATAGCACTCACCAATTTGTTCGACATTCGCTAAAAAGCCACCGGTGCAAGCGGCACTAACGCTGCCCGCCACCGTATTGTTGCTGCTGTTGTTGTTGCTCTGGCCGTTGGCGGACGCTTGCATATCGCTCGCTTCGCCCGCATAGAACTCCAGCAACAATTGCGCGCCACTCGATTCTATTTGTGCTGGCATATTTAAATTACTTCCGCCGTTCAATTCAATGAGCAACGTCGATGAGAGCGACGGACCGTCACGTACTTTGATGTACTGCGCCGGACAGGGCAAGCGCAAAAAGTTCAAACTCAGCGCAATATTCTCCTCGCCATCCACCTGTAACGAGAGCGAGTAGCGAATACATGAAATCGTAAAACTTTGGAAAAATAAATACAACAAAAAAATAACGTTAATAAAACACACACACACACACACATTGTTGAACGCGCGCGCGTGTGTGTGTATGCGTCGGTGCATGGCAACAAAAATATTATTTAGTGGGTGTATGAAATATTGCTCATATGCCAGCGGGCAGCAAGCGCCAACAACTAGACCGTTAGTTTTGAACGCTTGCTGCGTGCCTAGGCAGACCTGTGCTCCATATGCGCGCTTTGCCTTTGCGTGTGTGTGCTTTTTGTTGTAATAAGTTAGCAGATGTGCTTTCGGTTGTGTGTATATCTGCTTCTGCATATGAAATTTTACGTGCTAGTTGTTTCCTTGTTTGTGTAGTTGTTTTTGTTGGCTTTCTAAGTATCAAGTTGGAGTTGTTTTACGGTTGTTCACTTCATTAAAAACGCATGCGGCTGTTTGTGCGCGGCCATTTGTATGCAAAACTCCGCTATTAACTAACAACAACACCAATAATTCAACTAAAAACTGTTCTAATAAAGAGCAGACATTTGTGGGTGCAGGGTTGCAATTTTTATGGCGGATTAGTTTAGTTTGGCGTAAGATGTGAGTGAGCGGTTTTTGGAAGATATCGTTTCGAGCAAAAGATTTTAATTTTTTTACGCTTTGCTGATAACAATTTAACTATCAAAAAAGTTGGTTCAAAAAGTATATTCGAAGAGAGTAAGGAGTTCTTCAAAGCTTCACAATTGAAGGAATTATCGATATCCAACTAAGCTTTTGAACTTGAGCTCGAGTTGAAATTGTAAACGGCTGAACAAATATTTCATATTAAACTTTTGCTTGAGCTTGAGCCTAAAAACGCCCGAACGAATATTTCATATATCTAAATTTTCCTTTTATTTTGTATCTAATGCCGCAATGAGAGAAATTTTTTCCTAACTATACTTTCATACACTTTCTATATATTTCTCTCACTATTTTTGTAAGCTCCGAACTTTCATTTCAGTCAAAAATGCTTCACAGCTTATTGAGACTTGAGGTAGAAAATAATCCAACAGTTTGATTAACCAAAAGACATGATGAACGGCTGAAATGTGCTCGGATTTGGGTGGGAAAAGTGAAAAGAAAAATGTAATGACCAACTAGATTTTTTTATATTTTAACGGGGCAAATTTAGGTGAGAACGAGAAATAAGAATAATATTGCTATAAAAAAGTAGAATATTGATCCGAACAAGAACAAACATATGGCATAAAGTTATTTTTATGGGACATATGTAAATTTCGGTTAAACTGAAGGCCAATAATCGTATGTCTTTCCATGATAAAATAGCAAACCTTACCGAAGAGAAACGTCAAAAAACAAGAAAAAATATGGTGTCGTTTGCTGTCCTTATCGGTGTACTCCTCGGTCTAGAACCATCAGTCTGACAAGATTCTTTGTCGGACTGTTGATTTTTCAAAAATTTTTCGAGTCTAAGAGTACTAGTTGCTCAGTTTTTGAGCTATAGATCTGAAATTTTGCAGACGGCCGCTTCTCTTCAAAAGACTGCTCATTTGTCGGGATGATCTACATTAGATAACTACAGGGTACATATATCGTTACCTAAAATGCAAAACAACGTATCATAAAAAAAAAACGAAATCGAGTTTTTTGCATACGATTCACTATATCATATTGCATATGTATATGCATGAAATTGGCTATATTACAAAACTAGGCATAAAATTTGAAGCTTCCGGTATCAGATATAACCAATGGATAACCAACACATAACCAATATATAACCAATATATAACCGTTTATTAACCAAAACTCAATTTTTTCAATATGAGTGGTCTCTATCATAACTGTTTCGCTCCGCATTTAAACTTTTAAAAAGTGATATGGCGTTTTGCATTTTAGGTGACGATATGTAGCTGTCATATAAACTGAGCGATCAATTCCAAAAAACTGCTCGTATAGAAAACTTTTCATATTTGACATGATATTTTCACGAAATTTGGTAAGGATTTCCAAGCAAACTGTTCAGTTTGGACAACTATAGCATATAGCTGGCATATAAACTTTACAATCAAAGTCATAGAGTTTCTAAAAGAAATGGACCTGGGCAGGGTTTATAGCACAGGTGCTAACTTCGGTTGCATTCTCTTATTTTTAATATTAATAAAAAATATTTTTTATTATTAATAAAAAGCTTCATTCGATGGCTCATAAGTAACCGTAAGATTTTTCAAAATTTGCGCAAATAATTCACGTTAAAGCTACTTGATATATTAAATATCACTGCATTAGTGTTTTGACATGTTGAAAATTATCGCACGAAAGCCACCCGCATGCAGAGGCAGCAATCTAACGTTACAATCGCAACTGTGGTGAGGTGTCCAATATGTGATTAAGTTGTGGTCGCACTCGCAAAGCTTGATATGTGTGGTGTGTGCGAGAGAGCTTTAAAACTGTCAGTGATTTGATTAAACATAGTGCAAGCATAGAAAAATGTATTGCAACAACAACTAGAAAAATAGTACCAATAAATTCTCTCGGTGTAAAAGCATTTATCATAGTATTAGTAACAAAAACACTTGTGGATATAAATTTCCAAGCATATACATATAAATATGTATGTACATATATATATGATGTATGTTTGGGTATATATGTAGATATGTATATGAGTAATCTCCTATGATTTGCTGGCAAAGCCACACATTCATTTGCGTATAAATGCAGACAGACATACAAAGCGCTATAACGAATGGCAGGCACTCATATATGGAAAGAAATATTAATGTATGTATGTGTATATTTATCTAGTAACTGCGCTGATTACAAATTTCAGTATTCATAATTTATTTACTGTCTCTCAGGCATTTGATTTATCGACACACTTCACTCAAGCGCACACAGAAGCAAACACATATACTTTCACAAGAAAATATATAAAGTTTTCCTTTGTATATTTGCCTACAAAAAATATATAGCACATATATGCATACACACTTACATAAATGTACATATGAATATATGAATCGCTGCTCGTCTCTGTTAAAATATTGTTGAACTTTGCGTATAAAAGAATGCGAGCATGCCACCAATACACATGCATGCACACACATAAACAGGCATATGCAAGTGTATTTGCGCATAGCTTTGTATATTACTTACTAGTTTTACAAAAGTTTTTTCACACTAAAGTTTTTCAAAAAGTTTCGAAACACAAAACAGCAGCAGCAAAGTGGGTAAGCTGGTTAAGAGAGTATTAAAATGAAGCAGAAGCAGCCGCAGAGGTATGTAGCTGCAGCGATGAAAAGCGCAAAATATGTAGCAGTTAAAATGAAGTGTTGTGCAAATCTTGGAAACAGAAACACACACACACACACACATGTGTTGACTGAACACTTGAAGCACACGGCAGCATGTGAGTTGGAGAAAAGGATAAAAAGGTCAACTGCTGATTTGCCCACAAGCCACAAAATGGCAGCAAAATAAAAAGCCAGCAAGCCAACAAGCCAGCAAAAAGTAATAATAATAAACCAGCATACATACTGTATGCTGTCAAAACAAATTTGACATATAAAATATTGTCTGTTTACACAGATTTTACAAATTCAACAAGTGGGATAGCCGATAACATCCTGGTCAGGTGGTTTTTATTATACTCGTATTTGACCTATTGCAAATGCAAGGCTTGTACTCGTATGTGAGCGCTTTGTTAGTATATATATTACAGAATATGACACATATATGCTTGCTTTACAATTTTTAACCCTTTTGCAGCTTTTTTCTAACTTTCAAATGGTTATATTCACTAAATAAATGAGCGGAACAATATATCGTCACCTAAAATGCAAAACAACGTATAATCGAAAAATCGAAATTAATTTTTTTATTGCAATAGTGAAACTACATCAGATTACATAAGATTTTCATTGCCGCAGTCATATATAACCAATATATAAGTATTTTATAACCACTATATAACCGCTTTATAACCAAAACTCAAATTTAGTTTTAATATGGGTGGTTTCTATTATAACGTTTTTCCCTCGCCAGTAAACTTATGGAAAGTGGTGTAACATTATTTTGTATTTCAGGTGAAGATATACGTACAAGTACATACAAGCTTGTGCACATWCATACATATATGTATTTTGCTTATATACTTATGTTTTGAGTGCAGTTATTTGGAAAAACTATGCTAATCTGACTGCTTGCTTATATTTGGGCAAAAAGTAATTTAGTCAGTTGAAATTTTTACTTTCAAAACTAATATTTGTCCACATTGGCAAGTGCAATAACAAAGGTTTTTCAGGAGTTTACAGCAGAGGTCATATCAGAATATAATACACAAAACAAATAAATAAATATTTACATACAAATTTTCTATATGCATATACTACAGTGGGCAAAAATAGTAAAACTTTTTAATTCAAATTTCGCGCGAGAAACCATTCGCCGAAATAGTTTTTGTTTTTTTTGGTTGGTATGACTTTCAGTGACACATGTGAAAACTGTCACATCAAAATAATCATTAAAGTTTAGTATATGCTTGTCTCTTTGAATTACAAAAAGTGCATTTCGCGATTTCCACGATGAGTTAAATTATTCAGCAAAGAAGTTCCATTACATTTTGTGCGCAGAAACAAATTTTTTATTGAATAATTTCAGCGAAATATTCAAAATGTTGAAAAAGAGCTTCCTTGATAATTGTTTGTCGCGAGCAAATGTTTTTGATTGGTACAAATTATTCAAAAATCTATCAACATCAACAGATGRTCAACACGTCAGTAAAATAAAATAGGTGCTTAAGAATCGATGAATAATAGTCAGACTTTTTACAGACACCGTTGGACTATCGGAAGGTTCAGTAAAAAAAGATTCTAAAGATCATTCGGGCTTAAGGGGTCAGTAGGGTAATATTTTTTCAAAAATTTGTCTTTTCTTTGCATTTTCTRTTCCCTTATACCTTTAGAATTAATGTAGTA